ATTCTATGATTCTATGATACTCTTGCTAATGAGCATTTTACTCTACTGGACATTTTACTTCTATAGAAATAAATAGGTCCACCTGAGAATAAAAAAAAATATTAACCTAAACCCCTCAGGATCTGAAACAATGAAGATGCTTGAGAAATATGTAACTTCCCAGTATCAGTGAAGGCATCAGTATTTTGTTTATGGGTGGAAAAATACTACTCTGTATGCTAGGATATCAAAGAATCTTCATTTTGCAAAGCTCTGAGTGTATGGATGAGCCTGATTACTATTATTCATAACACACATGATTAATAGAAGGAAATGAGAGAAAATTTATAGATAATTGTCTGGATGTTCTACATTCTCTATATGGCTTTTCAGGTGACTCGAATAATACAATCCTGGAATCTTTCAAGTTGGAAAAAACCTTTAAGATCATCAAGTCCAACCATAAACCTAACACTGCTAATACCACCACTAAACTGTGGCTTTCAGCACCTCGTCCACACAAGTCTTAAATGCCTCCAGGGATGGTGACTCCACCACCTGCTTGGGCAGCCCGTTCCAATGCCTGATAACCCTTTCAGTGAAGAAATTCTTCCTAATATCCAATCTAAACCTTCCTTAATGCAATTTAAGGCCTTTTCCTCTTGTCCTATCACTTGTCACTTCTCATTCTTATTATTTTTGTTGTTAATATTATTATTATCAAGATATAGAGGAGGATGTGAAACACTTGACAGTGAGGGAAGATTTTGGGAAAAATCTAATGAAAATGGCTAGTTGAGTTTGCTGCTAAGGAAATAATCTACATGTGTTTCTGTTCACCAGCACAGAAGTTGCTGTATCACTCCTCTTTTATACAGTTCTTTCATTCTAGGCAAGGCTCAATAAGAAGAGAGAAAGGCATAAAATGGCCCGCTTGCCTAAAACTTAATTCTTATTCTTCTGATTTCATTGCAGGTTGCAAATCTGGCCTGTTCAATCTCGAATAATGAAGAAGGTGTGAAGTTAGTCCGTATGGCAGCAACACAGATTGATAGTCTGTGCCCACAGGTGAGTAAGTTTCTTGTTAAAAAGCACTTGAGAACTCTTTTGGCATTAAAAAACATCAATTAGCTGAGACAGGGAAAACAACCTAGGATGAAGATTATAGCCTTGCCTTTGTCATTTTTGCCAGCTTTCCACAAACTATAAAACATACATTTGTATATTAAGACCTGCAAATCAAATGGGGGGTGATGTTGTATTTTTAACACAGTCCATAGGCTATTTGTTTTTTCCCTTGTGAAAAGATTTTGCCATTCCTTGTAAAAAATTATTTTGAATAACAGGTGATAAATGCTGCACTCACATTGGCTGCCAGACCCCAGAGCAAAGTAGCACAGGACAACATGGATGTCTTTAAAGATCAGTGGGAGAAACAAGTACGAGTTCTCACTGAAGCTGTTGATGACATCACTTCGGTGGATGATTTCCTGTCTGTTTCAGGTACTGGGATCAAGGCACTTTTCTAAAAATATACTGCTAAATTAAAGTAATGGGTTAGAGCATAGAAGAGCTGTAGTTACTAAAGCATTATTAGTCCGTTAGTCAGTCCTTATTGGAATGCTGGTCTTCTACACTCAGTAGGAGCAACCAAGCCATGCCAATTAATCCCTGCTAGCAATGGCTAGCTTTTCATTTCCCAGAAAATAGCATCCTATTGGTGTTTCTGTTTCTATAGAAGCTCTGTTTCAACTCAGGTACAAAGTGGAATTCTGGCCAGCTTTTAAAAGCATATTCCGAACCTGTGACAGCCTGACAGTATTTGTAAAAGTTGTTAAGAGTCCTTGTGCAGTGGTAGGCAAGAGGAGGAAAGATGGACTTTATTTTGTAGCTTTGCTCAGATGAGCTGTGTCTAAACAGTGGGGCAGATGTACCATACATTCCTGGCCCTCTGATTATCCATACCAGGTAACTAGGCTCTGGAGAGATTAGGAAGAAGGGAAACAGGCAGATACTGTTTAGATACCTAGATACCTACCATCTAGGTTTGTTGTCAGGACATAAACAGTGTATACATTTCCAGGGAGCTGGGAAACACTTCTGGGTCCTAGAGTTACTGGTGTAGCAATGCAAACAAATAGTAGTAAAGCAGTGTAAGAAGCAGCAAATCTTTGCACTTCTCTGCCCTTGCTGGGAAGGTTTACAAGGCTAAGCAAGCTCTTCTACAAAAACAAAGTATCTCAGTCCTTACATAAAGAGGGCTGGAGAAGAGAAGGACATTGACTCTTTGGGTCACAGTCTTTTCTCCATCCTCCTTGTAAAGTGCTACAACTTGTAGCAGACTGTACTGTTATAATATAATCATACACAATGAATACTAGAATTGCCAAGTGCTGCATGTCTTGGATTGTTTGCTTCAAAAATCTCATGTTGCTATTATGGTTTGAAAGAGGGGAATTTCATTGTTGTGAATAAGGACATAGAATGTGCCAAGTGTGCGCAGCGTATTTGAAACTAACGTCAACGGAAGAGGCAAACTCCCAGAGATGACTTGGCCTTCATTTTCTGTTTCATTCTACATTCTTTTCTTTGATGTTTCCTAAATTTCCTAAAAGAACTTGAAGACCTTTGGAGGAAAAATAAAATATCCTTTAAAAAAATCCTTAATTCTCTTTTATGTCCTCCTCTTTATTTTGTTTGGTTGTAGCCCACTATTATTAGTTACAGGGAATGTTTTGGTTTAACATAAATACACTCCACTGTTCAACATCACTGCTAGAGTGTTTACTGCAAGCCATGACAGGAAAATGAAAAAGAGCTCTCAGAATAAAAAGGTACTTCAGAATCTGGTAGCACTTAGATTATTATTCAAGATTTGAAGGAGGCATGCACTCTTCAACAGACCTAGTTCTACAAGGGAAGAGCAGATCAAGCTGTAAACTGCAGACACAGTCCACAAGCCAGAGAGATGGCAAATGTGTTTAAATAGCCATTTGGTTATTTGAAGACTTTGTTCACTCCAGGAACTCTTATCCATAAAATCAGAAATTATTTGTATGGATGACAATTTTCTTTTCTGTTTTTCTCAAATCATACCTTTTTTTAACAAGGTCTTGACTTGTTCCCAAGGCAGAGGTGGTGGTGGCTAAGTAGTATTTCTCTTGGTTTTAGAATTTTCGAACACTGTCCATAGACATCTCTATCTATTAAAAATAAGAAAGCCTGTTGCTGCTAGCTCTAAGCTTGGAAGCCTCATCTTACCCTGAGCACTTTTATTTTTAGAAGTTAAACCAGTAAAGCATTCAAAATGGGCTGGTGTCTGGTTAAACATACCTCATAAAATGATGACTTCTCTTTTTCATTTTGAGTGTCACAGTTGATGGCATGTTTTATTAATAAAGTGGCTGCCAAAAAAAGGCTGACAATAATTTTGATCAGTTACTTTATATTCTAATCACAGTATCTGTTCCTATTCAGAAAGTACTTCTTGTTGGCCAAAATTTGGCTATGCTATGATAAAGAAACTGCCAGTGATGAGGAGAAAATAGTGAAAAAATAATTTAGCAAAACAACATTTTTAAAATATGGGTAGTTTTTTAAACAAAGAATTTTGCCTTGCAAGTTACTCTGATATACAGCTCAGGGGACTTCCAGATTTCATTCATAATTGTTACAGTTTAAAATTCAACATCATGTAAAACATTTCTGAAACACTCGAATGTTCTGAACTTGGGATTTTTAACATTGAAGATTAGTGTATCATTCTATTTTTGTGGCCAAGGATAATCACCAAAAACAGTTGATGAACTCATTTATTCTGTTTTATTTATTACTACTACAAAAAACATCTCATTTTCAGTTTAGTGGTGTCTGTGGAAGAAAAGTAAGTTGTAGAGTCACTGAGTTTCTTAGAGTGAGATAGCTCAGGTAAGAAATTCAGTCATACTTTTATTATTGAAATTATTTTTAACTGTACTGGCTACAGGGAAATGATGTCTAGGCTAGTCATAATCTGCTTCATCCTTTCAGATTATCTGTATGTGAGAATACTACATAAACTGTGGTACTGCAGCACATGAGAGTAGATGGCCTGACTCTGAGACAAGAAAAAATAATACAGTTCCCAAATTCCAATAAACCTACTTGATACTGTATCATCTCTGCAGACTCGCTGTTGTCAACTCTTATTTCAAAATATGCACAGTCACATATGATTATACTGTGTGTCATGAAAAATTCACACCTTAATCTCTGGCATAGACAGAGTAAAGGAGATAAATGGCTTCTGCACAGTCTCCCTGCTATCTACAAAGGCCATTTGCTGTTTTCAAAATGCTTTATTTTCTTTTCTATCTTACTTAGACACAAATGAACCAAATATATTAAACGTTTATAGGAATGTGTAAATTCATCTTCAAAAAATTGCCCAACAGTTTATTAGAGCATCTGCATAATATTTGACTGCTTTCTTTTTTGCACTGATTTTTATTACACTTTCATTATAATAAAATTCAGTGTGTTCTTTGAAATTAATGTAACTGTTTTTCAAAGAGTTACAGGTTGATACTTGCATTATAGGTGAGAAGACAGCCCAGGCACTTTTAAATATAAATATCACACTTGGGGTTTTTAATGTTATGTGGCATAATATCTCAGACTGGTTTTTTTTTTTTCAGAAATGGGTAAGGACATATATCAATTTTTTAATGTATTGATGTTTGCTGTTTACCCCAATTCAGTATACTTTGCTATAAGGGAGAATAAAATTAAATCAGCTTTTTTTTTTTTTTTTTGTCCTGCATTCCAGAAAATCATATTCTGGAAGATGTGAATAAGTGTGTGATTGCTCTCCAAGAGGGGGATGTTGATACACTGGACAGAACTGCAGGTGCCATCCGAGGCCGTGCAGCCAGAGTTATTCATATCATTAATGCAGAGATGGAAAACTATGAAACTGGAGTTTATACTGAGAAGGTACTGGAAGCTACCAAACTGCTCTCTGAAACTGGTAAGATTTCTTCAAATATTGTTCACTATTAAGTCACTTAAAACTTCTGGTTCAGTGTCTGAAATCTGTAACTCAGAGGGGAACCTGTGCTTGAAAACAAGATACAAAAAAAACAAATTAATGACCATGAGTTGGGTTGGTTGGTTGGTTGGTTATTATTCTCTACTCAGTGCTATTGCAGAAGTCATATTGACAAGGGCCATATAAGAGAAAAGATTCAGTAACACATCAAGCTTAGTTTACTTCATCAAATTTTCAGTGATTTCAGTAAATAATATGCAGCCTTTTCTTCAAGTTCTTTCTGAGTCAGTTGATTATGTATTATGTGTCTCCAGAAAATCATTACAAACATTACTCTGTGGTCTGTTCAAGTGAATGTACTTCCTGGTGACTGAAATTGCGTTTCCAAACAAAACAATTTTTCATTTAGGAACTGAAAATATATTACCTGATTGAAAAAATATAAAAGTCTGCTAGATTACATAAAATATATAGAATACATAAAATAAGTAGATTATGTAACAATAGAAATGTCTGCTAGATGGATAGACTGAGGAAGAACACTGCTCTCTTCTTGAAAAATGTTTTTGCCTTCACAGAGCAGGGGTTGAATTCATCTAACTGCGGGTGATTACATCTAAGCTGGTCATTCTAGAATCCATTATATCCAGTATTATCTGTTGCTATGTGCGTCTGAATTGTTCAGTGCTGGCAGTACTATCAAGTGCTCTCATCTTAAAGCAGTGGTCTACATTTCTTCAGTTGAATCATGCTTTGAATTTCACTGACTTTATGGACTAGGTCTCCACTCACCGTACAAGTGACCAGCTATGATATAGGTGCATGTAGTGTAGATGTCTGAAAATGTCTGAGCTGATCCTCCCCTATCTATCTGCACTTGCTCATCTGGGCTTTACAATCATCAAGGTTACTTAAGGAGGAACAAATGAGAATGCACCCATTTGGGATATGGCAAATGTAACATTCAGAAAAAAAGTATCTCCCTATGAGATAGAAAACCAAAAACTTGGTTGTAGCTGTGGCAGCCTCTTTTTCAGCTTTGAGAACAGAAATCAACAAAATGAGCTAAAAAAATGTTGAGATGATTTAATATTTCTTACTGTGTTTTTGTCCCCTACTTATTACCTTTTAACCCTGAAAGGAACCTCAAGCCCTAATTGCACAGATAAATCTCATTGACCAAAATCAATCATTTCTTCTTTTTCTGACTTTTCATTATGATTTATTGGAAATTATAGCAGAAGTGTGGGTGCGTGATATGGGATTAGGACTAGAAAATTGTGCCTTGTGTAGAGCCATACAAATGATTCAACACTGGTAGACATTAACTGTCACAGACACTTTCCTGTCAGCTGCAGGGAGGCATTTCTGGGGAGAGGTCAGGACAGTAACATTCTTTTCAGTCTATGGTACATGCCCCATTTGGAGCTATTTCTTGTGCACCGTTAATGTTCACTTTACATCCGTCTGAACCCAGAGGGTCAGGTTTTGCCCCTGTACAACTTGAAGATAATGCAAAAAGTTTTACTTCTTGGTGAGTTGTTTTTTTGTTTGGTTGGTTGGTTGTTTTTTGTTGTGGGTTTTTTTTTCCCTCTCAAAGTTTAGTGATTCTGTGTGTGTCATGTTTTTTAGATGGGAGAAACAAAAGTAGATTTGAAAATTGTTTTCCTTAGTCCCCCTAATTTTACTACCTAATAAGAGATCAATAAAATGAGTACTGTAAATTGAGATTATTTTTTGAAGTCTATGAACTAGTATTATGAATTCACAGAAAGAAAATACACTGTTTAGTTTGATATGGTAAAATATTTTGTTGCATTCTTGTGTTAAAGTCTCCTTTTGACAAATAAGAGATTTTGAAGAATTATTCCTATCACTAAGATTTCTTTGTTAATCAGAAAAAAATATATCTTCAAACTTTTTATTCAGCTAAAATGCTGACCTAAATGTTCTGTACAATTTTTTATTAATAGTTTTTCAACAGATATAATTTGAATTAAGACTAAGGGCTAGAAGCTCTGGACTGAGTGCATCTTGTCAACATCAACGTGTTAATGCTGAGATTCAATACTTAAGACTGAGTCCCTGTTCCTCAAAGTAAAAGTTACTAATTTTCCTGTATTTTGTAAAATGTAAGTAAATTTATGAGTAATAAAAAAAGTAAATAAATCATATTTTCAGCATTAAGAACTGTACTTCATGTACAAATTGTGCAACAGAAGTTTAGAAGATGGAATGGACCCAAATTCAATGGAGCCAATGAAGCTGAAACAGTTTATGCCTGATGCGAATGTGGATTATTAATATTACAGCGCAGTTTCTATCTGCAGCTTTTCAAGCCCTTTACAAAGGCCTTGATTATTATTTCTCTATGATTGTTTATTAAAAAAAGCAGAATTTACTGACTTATTTCGTCACCCTAGAATAAAGTGGTGAAAGTGGTATTTAGACAACCCTACACCGTTCTGTGCCCTGCTTGCTTATACTCTTCCCTCTCCCCAGAACTGGTCTCTGTCTACATATGCATCAGTGTATCTATGGACATAGAGATATGGGTATCTATGAGTACATGCATATATTTATATATTAATTCTATTCATCACTTTGAGATCCTGCACATATTTTACCAAACACTGAAGAATCATGAGTGTGCTTTATTCAGTCAAGCTTCAGAGACAGATGTGTATAGAAAAATCTCTGAGAGAAAGACATTGATGAACACCTTACCATTTTCATTTTTATTACTCCCTTTTTTTAATTCACCTTTACTTTTAAATGAAGTGCTTTTGAAAGCTTGGAATAATTTAGTTAAATTACAGTGAAAAGAAATTAGCACATTACCTTTCTCTTATTATTTACTATCAGCCCAGGAAAGGAAAGTCTCTGTTAAGCATCTTTTTCCAGGGATTTCACATTGTTATATGAGTACTGGGTTTGATCCACAGAGCAGAAATACGGATACACTGTTTTGGAAAGAGAAACATCTTGCTTATTTTTTATTTTAGGGGACAGAAGATTAATGAAAGTAATATTGGTAGGTTCTAAGAAATTGTAACTATGCAAACCTTACTTCAGTAACTGGTTTCACCTTGAAGTTTTATTTGTTTGCTGATTTAATTTACAGCCTTAGGAATATACAGGGTGAGGTTTTTTTAGTGTTTTAGTTCTTTCTTGCCAGCACTTGACTAACCCAGTGTCTTTATAGCCAAGTACTTGATAGAGGATAGATTCTTATCTCTGACAGCAGTATTAGGGAGTGGCGTATTGGTTAATGTCTTTTTTAAATTACATACTTTTGTTTTCCTTTAAAAGCAAAATAAATACTTGATTCTCACTTCTTAGAAATCTAAGATGAAAACTATAAAACCACAGAATCTACAGTTCTTGCTGGGAGCAAACACAAAACTCATAGTTTTAGTGGGTGTTAATTGTGTGCAGGAGTAAACCAGAGCAGGTTTCGTATTTTTTGGTTGCTTTTTTGGGCACAATGAAGTTTTACTATGGTTAACTTGGTTTCCTAAAGAGCCAGGTCCAGGCTCTCCCTGGGGGCAGCCCCAGCTCAGGGCATCAGGCACCTCCATGGGCACAGGGATGGCCTGAGGCCAGGCTGGGGTGTCAGCCCATAGATGGGAGACAGGATCAATCCCAGTGAGAGGAACCAGGGTCAGACACAGCCCATGGATCAGTAGGCAGGGCCACACTGATGGCTCCTATAAATGTTATATTGGTGTTCAGCATTTGTAGAGAACAGTGAAACTATTCTAGTATAGATAGTCCACTAAAAAAGGAAGGAGGAAAGTGTGGAAAGGAAAAGAGAGGAGAAAGGAAAGGCAAGGAAAAAAGCAAAAGGCAATGGAAGGGAATAGAAAACAGAGAACATAATTTCTTCTTGAATATTGAGATATTTCATACTACACAGCATCTTGTCCTAGCAGTAATCGAGGCCAGCTGATAATCTCACATAAACTTTAATAAGGAGGTGGGTGAAGTCTACTCAACAATTGCTTAAGAAGCTGTAACAACTGAAGGGAAGAAGTATGAGTTTATAAACAGGTAGAAAGAATTATCCGTAGAAAGAAATCAAGTAACAGGCAACGTAGTTGAATATTATTTTTCAAGATTTCTGAGATGCAGGGAGCAGCAAAAGCTGTGACATTCTTTAAAGGTCAGAGGGTTGAAATTAAATTAGGACTAGAGTAGAGTTTGCAGGGTCTTAATGTAAGGAAGTGAATGGGAAATTAAGGAGAAAAAGCAGAAAAAACGGGACCAGAACTGTCTGGGAAGGACTGTAAAAAGTTTCAGGTTTGGTTTTTGTTGGGGTTTGGGGTTTTTTGTTTTGGTTTTGTTTTGCTTTGTTTTTCCTTCCATTGGCATTGCATTGTGATGTCTGGAAACCATCCTGACAGAGCCAGTACCAGAGTTCTTGGGCTACTCATTCCTTAGAAGGACATTAGAAATTTGAAATCATCTGATTCAGAACAGAAATTAGAATTTCAGCTTTTAGCATGTATTTTAAATACCCTAGAAACTTTGTAACTAGCTGATTTTAAGTAGGTCACTCTCTGACTTCTGTTTTGATTCAATATTTTTATGTTTTCTTTATCAGAATGGCCTAAAGTTCAAAATCACCACTACTGACAATTCAACAATAAGCCTGCTAGAGTTTTATCAGTGTGAGTAGGACAAATTTTAAAGATATTTACCACTAGGAAAACTCAGCTCAATCATATTATCAAAGCTAATACTAAAATGTGGTAAAGATGGATTTTTCAGCCGTGATATGAAGGGAAACAAAATGTAGAAGCAAGAAGATTAATTTAAGCATAGCTGTAACTAAAAAAAAAAAAAAAAAACCCCACATTATATCTGAGGAAGAGATGAAAATTGAAAAATGGAGTCTATTTAAAAAAATAAATTATGTTAAATTCATGTTTTCTGAGCATTTCAGGTAGTTATAGCACAATTTATGGGTACCATCA